CCCCCCCACTAGGGCAGTGCTACTGACTGAATTTGTCATTAGGCCTTTCCCAAAGGGGGGTTATCATGTTCTTATGCACAATAAAATTGTAAATGGACTGATTTGTCAATGTCGTGCTCATACTGTGCCAGAACAACATGGGGGAAACTGCTGCTTTTTCTTTCCTCATCCTTACTGTCGTCATTTTCCCCTCTACTTATTTTGTATGTTAGTCACTCTCTTGTGAGCTGCTATTTCCAGGGTGCCTTGGTAGTTGAAGCCGACTTTGTGCTGTTGAGGCTAGAGAGGTGAGCAGAGTAAACCTGATTACTCGTTTGGACTTCTCTGTTGACATCCACCCCTTGGCGCTCATATGACCGTATGCAGTTGCAAACGCCGTAAAACATCTACTAAAACTAAACTTAAGAATGCAGTGTTATTACTGGCTTTTGCATTTGTTCACTTTTCCAGAGAAGAGCTAGAGAAACAAGAAGCTCGACGACGTTACCAGGTACTTCATGCAGCGGGTAAAACAGAAGAGGCTCAGGCAGATCTTGCCAGACTGGCCATCATTCGCAAACAGCGGGAAGAAGCAGCTAAGAAAAAAGAGGAGGAGAGAAAAGGTAGGAATATTGTTTCTAGTATCTGGAAATAAAACTTGACATTCTCCCCCTGGTGTTTCTCTGCTTGAGGTTGAGGATAGTTTTCTGTCTGTTTTTCTTTTTGAACAACAATTTGTGTGTGTGTGCCTAAAGAAAGATACCAAAAGTCGCCACAGACCATTTTGAGCTACAGACTGATAATGACCAAAAAATCACTTTTTTGACTGTGTTTCCTTAAAAAAATGATAGTTCCACCTTTTTTTAACAATGTGTTAAAAGAGTTTTCATTGATTTGACTTCTAAATATTTTATTTTGAATTATTTTGATGGTAGAGTTGTCTAATCATGATATTGATGTCGACTGAATGCCGAATTGGAAATTAATTTTCCATGAATAAATACATTAACAACAATTGAATCATCTCTCTTTTTTCCAAGTTTTTATGTGTTTTAAACTTAAAAGCATACAATATCTCTAAAACTACTTAAGGTATCTCAAAAAACTAAAAAAAGCCCCCACTGTGTTCAGCATTGAATGTCATATGAGGTAAAACCCTTAACCAAAAATGGTTAAAATCCGACTTTTGGTACCTTTCTCTAGGCTCGCACACATTTATTGACGCTGTCGTCAAGGTTTATATATCAAATGGAATGTTTTAGTCGCTATTTGCTATAGGTACTAAGCAGATTTGACTCTCTTATCTGTCCCTGTGGTTTACTGCACCCCGCATAATTTAGCAAAATTTAATCTTTTTTTTGCGCATAATTTCTGATTATTTTCTTTTTGTCATTCTTTTTTAAAATTATCAGAATTGCATAATTTCACATTTTTGGGCTCAGTTTGCATATTCAGAAATTTTCTTGCGTAAATGGACGGGGACAGTCTTATGAGTATATTTGATTGCTTCATATGTTTTTCGTTCTGTCTTACATCACAAAGTGATAATGTAATTTTAAAGACATTTTTTGAAAATGAATTTGATAATCAAAATATTCTAAGCAGCCTTTTCAGACATTTTTGGACTTACACGTTTTGCAACCGTTGTACCATCGATTTGTGTTAAACACATTTGGACGTGCTTTAAATACAGTTTTCAAACCGTTTCTGATTTGATAGTGGTCAAGCTGTTTTGCTAGTTACTAGTGTTAGCTTTGGAGGGGGAGTTATACATGATGGACAACAGTAAAATGAGAGAATGTTTTCACTAAAGGAAAGAAATGTGGTTCAGTTTTTTTTTTAATTGAGGGGGGGGGTATAGTTCATGTTATATCTCACTGAATTTGTGAACATTCAAAAGTATTAAATTCCTTTTTCCTTTTCCTTATTTCTGTTTTACAGCAAAGGAAGCCGCAAAGGACGCAGCTTCAAAGTCGAAAGGAAAGTCTTGACGATGATGCCCCAGGTTTTAATGTCCTCCTATTTAACTCTGTGCATTTCTGTCTTGTGAGCCAGCCAGAACCTCTTGTGTGGAGACCTCTGCGCATGCATGAAGTGTTTTCAATTCTCTCTATCTCTAATGTTTTGTTTGTGGTCATCCTGTACGGTACTCCTGTAAACAGGATCCATTTGTTCTCCCTTTACTTGTTACTTTGATTGGGATTTGCACACTGTTAATATGATGCGTTGTGTTTGGGAGATGGAAATCAGTGAGGTGCAGAAACAATGGCCTTCTTGGTATCTGTAGCTGACTCGGAAACTGTCAGAATGTTCACTGACGCGTCTGACAGATATATGATTTAATTTACTTTACCTCTCTAGCTTGTATGTTGTTCTGGCTGCGTAGTTGTTAATATTATGTATATTGCCGCATTATAATACTTGCTCTGTTGCCATGGGTAATAGTGGAAAAAAAATGTTCCCCCTCTTCGCACTTTGTTTTAATATTTTTGAAAAGGTAGTCTTTACTCTTTGGTAGTATCTTAAATCATGTTTTTTTTTCTTCTCTTCTTTTTATTAAGGATGGGCAGTTAGGGTGTTGGTGCTGGTTTTATATCGAGCTTAAAGCAATGTTGCTTTATTCACCCTTATTTTTTTTTTCTCTCCTTTTCCGGGGTCATGGAGGCGTGTCGCGCTTCGTTAAAATTTGAGGACTTATTTGTCTTCCCAGCTATGTTTCACAGTGCCCGTTACCATACTGGCTTTATGAAAGTGTGAGGTGCGTTTGCAAATAAAAGCGTGCTTTATTTTGGAAAGCTCTGAGAAACCGAAAGTGAGTTCTGTAGGTCGGCTGAGTGGCAAAAGTTTTACTGCAGCCTTTGTAAACTGAAATATAATGGGAGTCATCAAAGATTAATCATGGTGACACTGAATTTGTACTCTGAACAGTTTTTGAAATATTTTTTTTGTATCCCCAAATTTGTACTGTTGCTTCATGTAGTATATATGCATGCGAAAAAAAATAGATTGGAAGATAAGTGTTTCTTACTTCTTCAGGGTAGGCTACTTGCGCAAAACAGATTTACTTTTAAAGATCAGTTGAATAAAAGCTTTTATAAAACTTTGTTCGGATGTTCATAATTATGTGATTGAGATAGAATGCTTTTGAACAAACCACTACGAAAAGAGTTTGAAATTATTTTTTTTTTGGTTCAAGTAAACCTGAGTTAATCTTTTACAATTACTACTAAAGAAGCTTTGCTTGTTGAGCCTTATTAATTAAATTCCTTGTAATTGTGCATATTGGATACATTTTCTCGTGGAAGGTACAATAAATGTTTTTCAATCATGAATGCTTTTGTTGTTGTGTTTTTTATTGTTTAATCAAATTGTCCTGCCGTATCTGTGAGCGTATGGCTTTGAATGGAAACTTTGGCATTCTCATATTGGATATTAGATACTAATGAGTCTTCAAGCGAAATATGATGGAGTTTTCTTACTATAAATGTACAGGATCCAGACTTAAATGCCAAGTTGTTTGGGGTCTCGCACTGGAAATAATGAGAAATACGCAATCTTGATGGAAGCTTTAATATTGAGAGGTTTTGTCGAACTGATAGTCTACAGTTATATCATCTGCGATCGAAGGCTCACAAGAGGGCAACTTCTCTGGCCACCCAGTGCCTTTCAATTTTAATGCATCGATTCTCTCTCAGGGGATGTAAAAAACAACTTTGTAGCCTGTTAGGGGCATACTTCATAAAAATAAAAATAAAATTCTTGTTGTTTATTATTCCAGTACAACCATTTTGTCAGTATGAGGAGAATTTTTAATATTTTTATGGAATATTTCCGTTTTTCTGTTGGGATGTTGTATCCCTCTCAGCCTGGGTTGGTCCTAATAGGCAAGGTTTAAGGAGCCTGTCTCCTGAATTATCTAAATATAGTTGAGATGCAGGAGTAAAAGTTTTACAATTCTTATTTGCTCAGTCTCATCTGAAGCTTGATGAATTTATTAAGAAACAGATACAGTCAGGCACAGATACCTCAAACACTTTGGAGACCGAAAAATGTGTTCAACACATGATAATTTGGGTTAACCGATAGCAAAAAATTAAAGTTAAAGAGATATCAGTCACGGAATTTCAAATTGTACAAGCTATCCATGATTTTGAGCTCTGCGTGTTCGTGTTATTTGTGCTGGACTGTGACTTAATTTAGCCTGCCTGGCAAAGCTAGCTTTTTAAGTCTGTAATGTTTTTTTGGTAGTCAAATGTCTTACTGACATGCTAGAATTTATTAAGTCGGACATTTCAATTTCCCTCTCTCGCAACTTCATTTTTGTGTATAACAGGTTTGAAGAATTGTTAGATTGTCATTAAGAGCTGTGTTAAAAAAAAAAATAGATTCCTTTTTCTTCAAAGCCTGTTGAACTGGCGTTTGTGGTGTAGTAGTTAGGTGCTTTGTTGATGCATGCAAGAGACTCAAGTTTGATTCCTGAATGGGGAGAAATTTTTATCTTTTCGAGTATCTCATTCTTTTCTTTTTGCTGAGATGTATCCCTCTCAGCCCGGGTTGGCTGTGACAGGCTGGGTCAGATTTGGGAGTGTAAAAACACTCACGTCAAAATTTAAAAATGAAAAGCCCGTGGTTCAGACCAAGAGTGCCATGGTGTGGTTTGCTCCTTCTTAAACATTTGCATTTTGAATTTTATGAAGGCCATTGGCCTCAATGGAAAATTGTAGAATAGAACAAAATTGAATAATTAAAATTTTTTATGAAAAATGTTTTAGTCTGAAATGATATATCTACACCAAATTTTTTATATTTTAACTTTTAAGATCAAATAACCCATACACAGCCGTGCAGTAAACCACGTATATAAAAAAACAACTTGTGTTTCGTGCGCTCATATGACCTTATGCAGTTGCGAGCGCCGTAAAACCCCATACTAAACAAACAGACATTTGTCGTCCATATTTCTTCTCCTCCTTTGTTACTTTCTTGTGTCAACTCTATAATCTTCAGCACTTATTGTTGTTTTGCAAGTGTTGTAAAACGCTCACTATTTAAAACTAAAGAAACAGTGATAGAAAGAGTGGAGTGCTCAATAGATGCAGAGTGTCTGGCCCAGTACTAAATAAATAGCATTTGAGCGCTTATCCCCACTCAACAGCAAGCTCTATGCATTTATATTCATATATATTATTACCCCAGCAGACCATAGAACACTTGGAAACATTCTCTGCTTCCCGGGAAGCATACAGTGCAAGCAGCTGATTAAGCACTAAAGCACTACAAACTGACAAGATCTTTCGCTAGGTACTTCATGTGTCAAAGAAAATATAGCCTTGCCCAAGACAATCTATTCAATCATGAGATGTCTTTTGAATGGCAGTGAGTGCTCCAGTGAATGGTTGGGTGCTCTGGTATGGTGTCATCACTATCACTATCGTCCTTATCTCTCCTCCTTTTTTGTGTATGTTATTCTCTTGTAACACATCTATTCTTCGGTACTTATATGACCTTATTGTGTTGCAAGTGCTGTAAAAGTCTTCCTAAAACTAAGTGAGTGCTCCTAATTATGTTAACTCGACACCATGAGAATGATCTCTTTCTAATTTCTGGATACACAATCTAAGACAACTCAGCTGTCTTGGGCCCCATGACAAGACATTAAATGTAAAAAAAAAAAAATATCTAAATCTCAGAGTATCAGGTTTTATTGGAAAATAAATTATACATTAACAATATCATTATTTCATTTATGTACTTTAAAGCTGAAATTAAAAATCAACAATCATACATAATCAAAAGAAACATAGATACAATACTGACAGCTGTTTAAACATTTTATTGCTGTAAGTATTCCTTTATTTAACAAATACTTTTGAGTTCAAATAAACTTTGATGTATTTATGAGAGACTCGTTCAATTTGAAAAGCAAAACTTCACATTGTCACTGTCATATGAAAAAATGAGTAATTCCTGTTGTTAATCTGTTATATATAATAATTATAGTGCTCATAGTGGTTGTAACTGATCAAAGGAAATTCTTTGGTAAATGTACTAGTCTCTAAGAAGACTAAAACTGATACATGTACTGGTACCTAAATGCAAGTATTAAGACAACAATGCGAAGGCAAAATATAGAATGTACAGTGATATGTATAGAAATATGTGACGCACAAGGCAGTGGAATGAGACGCTTGTCAGTTTTTGGGCATAATGAGTTTTTATATTGGTGTCACATAAAGCCTGTTCATTCATCTTGCTTTGGGTGAAAAAAAAAAATACAGAGCTGTCTCGAATAGAAAAGATTTAAGACTGAAGGATGTGGGGGTAGCCTGTTGTCAGAGGTAAAATTAGCGAGAAAATGTCTGCCCAAGTTGGGAGTAGCTTGAGAGTCCGTGAAAACTGAAAAACTACGACATACCTTATGTCAGTAGTAATGTAATCAATATTTTTCTGTAAAAATCACATGGAAATGAGTTTTTACATGGACATAAAAGGTGCTGAGCCCATAAACAAACATTTGACAAAAATCTGTCCCCGTGGTTTTATGCACCCCACATAATTTAGCAAAATTTGATCATTTTTTGCATAATTTCTGATTATTTTCCTTTATCATTCTTTGTTAAAATTAACAGAATCGCATAATTTCACATTTTTGGGCTCCTTTTGCATAATTTCAGAATTTTTCTTGCACAAAACGACAGGGACTGAAAAATTGCCCAACATGTTGAGAAATATCGCACGGCGTCACTTTTCGCCCGATTCTGTTACTTTTAGTTAGCGTGACTCAGCCGCCCGCCGGCGCTTCGCGTCTCGGGGTCACTGGGTTAATAAGCCCCGACGCGACTTCGCCGGTGTCGGTTAAGAAGTTGGAATTTTTGTTAACTTTTAGAACGATATAACTTCCTCCCCGTTCAACCCAGCATACCATTACACTGATGTACGTAAAGCCTAGTGTTTCGAGATTTATTCTTCGTTGGAGTGGTTATTTTCTGTGCCTTAGTTTTTGTTCTAGACAAGTGTTTGTAGAGTACCCTATTCGGT